CCTACCCTGTCCTTGCACCAATTGCGCACTATGCTAATACACGGGGCCTGATTCGGCCTGCTAGCTGACTGCTCGCTAGGTGGATGGGTGAGTAGGTGGTACCTCATCCATTAATCATCAGAGAGGAATTCGTGACTTGTAAGAGGCAATTGGCCAATTGTAATTTGCATTGTAGAATTATAGAAATACGGTAGATAGTCTTTAATGCTTCTTTCTCTGCCCTATCGCGATCATTTTGGTGCTAACGCTTTTGCGAGAAGTTGGTAAATTGCTAATATAAAGTAGATACTCAATTCACGGAAAGTAAATGCCAAGTTAAGCAAACTGTTTTTAGCAATAAGCTACAGATTTATGTGGATAAAATAAATGTTTTCATAAAAGCGGTAAACACTAGTTGATGGGACACCTTTTGAAATAAAAGTGGTGTACTTATATTATCAATAAAGAAAGCTGACCGAAGCGAAATATTTACTTCTGACCGGTTTTTTGAAGAAATCACAAATGCTCAACTTATACATTACGAAGTTTCTCCAATCATCGACATAGAGTGTGATACAACAAAATAAGTGTGGCACCTTCCTCGGTGTGAATCAGTCTACCTATGCAATGCCCCTTATTCTGGAATCTCCCATTTTCCGCCGACTTTAAACTCAGCCACCCATCATAAAATTCCCATTAAAACCGGTAGACGGGACTCAAGCTTTTACGAACTGAATTCAAGTGACATTTAAGGCCCTAAAATTTGCAATAACAATTTGGATAGGGATAAAATTGTTGATGATGACCCAACTAACATCAAGCTGAAGGAAACACCCTAGTCATGAGAATACTGTAGAGTTGCAAGCTGATACAGATTGAAAGGTGTCAAGGTGTGGAGGAGTACAAGGTAAAGCAAGAGCTAGTGAACTCATGGTTATTTGGTCAGTCAGTCAGTTAGTAGACAAGCTAAAATACATACCACGTTTTAATGAAATGCGTGAAAGGCGAGAAGAGCAATATAATAGTCTACTAAGCCCATTGCGACAAAATGGAAATGAACACGTCCAAAGAAATTTTGTATTCTCGGTTTCAGTCTAGTGACTGCGTCCCATATTGTAATCATTCTCAGTAGTCACATGGATCAGCCATCGGTGACTTCCGGCTGTCTTCCACCGATTCTCGTATTTAGGCATTCCTGGATCAAACACCACACCATATTCAGGGAAGTTTAAAGTTACGTCAGCATCTACAATGCACGTAAGAATGGGGAGAAGATACGGTCACGTCTCACCTGCCTACCCTACTTCTGCGATATTTCTCCAAGTGAGAAGTTCTGTCACATCTTGGCATCAGACGATCGCGCACCAAAGAGAACGGGTGAGTGGAGAACAAAACTGAGATGGAACGAGTGGGTGTTCGCTTTTGTCAACAAAAGAGATAAAGTCCACAAGTTTGTGTCTCATTGTCTTGTGCTACTTTGAGTATTTGTTTAGCTCTTCCTTTCCGACTGGTGAACTCCAAGGGTTTCGCCTCTACTTTCGCTGTGTAGCATGGACTACAGGTCATGTAAATGGCCCCTGCTCCCCTTCAGCACCTCTGGTCATCAGCAAGGCATTTTCCCTCCTTGTATTATAACTTTAGACTTTAGGGAAGAAT